GTGTAGAGAGAGAGAGAGAGAGAGAGAGAGAGAGAGAGAGAGGAAAAATAAAAATTCCCTGCTTTCAGCTTTAAAGAATCAGGATAGGAGAGCTTAGGTTAAATCCAATATGACACAGCAAGAGTGTGCTCTGTGGTCGCATGCAAACTTGAGATTGAGAGGACAATACCTAAAGCTGGAGCACTGGCGCTTCGGCAGCGATCTTCGCACCGAGTGAGAGAGGAGAAACACATGCGGAGACAGTCGCACAGCCCGAGAGATGGATTAGTCAGAGAGAAAGAGTAAAGAGAAGATACACAGAAGCCCATGCAAAGACACTGTAGTGTTGAAAAAGGCTGAATAAGATGGTTAAACAGCTGTTATGGTCAAAAAGCTTAGAGGACAAAAGTATTCAGAGAATGGAAGAGCAAACAAGCACAATGACACCAGCTGAGGTTATATATATAGTATTAATAAGATCAAACAGTGAATGGGTGCCGTGAGAATGAAAGTTTTTGGGTGAACTATTACTTTAATTTATAGCAAGAAATAAACACTGTACACACTAAATGCATGGTTCTCTCAAAAGCTCACTTAATTTGGTTTTCAGAAACAGCCCATGTTAACAAATTATTTCAACACAAAGAATTGTGGGTGCTGTGAGACAATTGCTTACTCAGGTTGAATTCGCTGTCCTCACTTTCATCAGGAGACAGTTGCAGTGGGGAAGACGGCTGCAATCGCACTCCATTCTGCTCTGGACGACTAAACTTGCCCGGAAGTGTCTGGTATTTGTTATTTTCAGGATTATATCGGTTCTGTGGAAGAAATGCATTTATCTTAGCGATTAAATATTTATGTTGAGATTTTTATATTGCTATAAATTATATTAACCATAAAAATGCATAATTACAAACAGTTTTAGAATTTAATTAAACATATAACATAAATAAATAAATGAACAAATAAACAAAAACATTTTATTAGAAGAACAAGAACGAACACTGTAATATCGGTTGTAAGCGTTTTCTTATTAAGCATTTTTGTTAAACTAAGCCAGGCAAACAAAAAAATATGCATATATTATGTTAACTAATGCATGTGCATACAACAAAGGCTATTGTTGTGGTTCTGGTGTTGTGTTAGCTTTAGTTTATTGGTTTATGTTAGCTAATAGTACCTCTAAAACAGCCTCTACTGGTTGGCCCCCTACATGCTTAAGAAAAAACAATAGTCAAAACACACAAACATACACTCAGTTAGACGAGTTACAGTGTTAGTTGAAACATACAAAATCAAAGCACAATGTTAATCTAGCATTAAAGAGATCCGAGTTGAGTTTAGACATTCAGACTAAAAGCATTTTGTTAATGATAGGAGTTGGTTGGCCACAAGAAGCAGAATAGTCATATTTATTTATACAAAATGATTCTGGTTTTTGTACCATCTGTAAGCTTCCACTTTGGAGTTCTTCCAAGCTGGTGGACAGCATCCGTGGCATTGACCTGAAAATAAAACCATGAACAATTATATTAAACAAGCTTTGCTTACATTATTGCAGAATAAGTGCATCTTGTTTGTTCAGGTTAAGTCACAGACTAACAAATGTAAGCTGGAAGCACATTCTCATGGTTAAAAACAAAAGATGACTGAAATTAGAACATCAGAAACAAAAACATTTGTATTATATGTAGCCTTAACCCAATTTTAAAAATAAAATGATAAAGATGAAAATGAAAACTGGTTTGCTATTTGATTTCCAATGCAAATTAAGCAGCAAAATTAGAATGAATTTATTCACTCTCAGTTTGCAAGCTGACAATAACATCGTTCCTGTCAAATTTAAATTACATTTTGACAAAAAGAAATAAAATAAAAATAAAAAAGCAATCTCAAGGCAAAACTACATAAAAAAAAGAAAAAAATCAATAAATTATATATATATATATATTAGGCTTGCCGCAATAGACGGTGCTGACAGTGATACCGTTGTTAAGCCGCAACACCGGTTACGTCACCTGCCCACCGCGGCACCGACCCCCACCGTCGTTTTGATTTTTTATAGTAATAAAAATCATTTAGTTCAGTAAAAGAACAGACACTACAATTAAAAACGTTCTACGTTTCTTATTTATTTGGTTATATATTATACATGTTTACTTATTTCCAGTTTTGTATACCTATTAAAACTTTATGTAAGTTATGTTATTTTATATTAGGCATAGCTTGCCCTATAGCATGGTGTATTTTTATTTGTTTTGTTAATAAAAGTTATGTTTTATATATAGACTAAAGTGAGTTTGACGTTGTATTTTGTTGTTGCATTCAAGCAATTGACGCCGAACTGCCGCTAATTCAAAAGTGAAAGTAAAATACAGGGCTTTTAAGCTATTTAAAAGCGAGGAAAAGAGGGAAATTCAAACGAACTAAAAACGAACAATTGCTTTACTCCGAATTGCCGCTATTTCAAAAAAAGTAAAATGCGCACACCGCTTTTACAAGCTATTTAAAAGCGAAGGAAAGCGAGAAAAAGAGGGAACGCCCCCGCCCCCGCGGTGATACCGGTATTACCGGTG